CTCATTTTGTTGCAATCACTGCTGATCCATGCCGGTTCCTCTTTTCTTCTCCTCCCCTTCTCCCTTCCTTGCCGTGGTTGGCTAACATCCTCTCTCTTTGTATTGGCCAGTGTTCTCACTGTGCTATGAGATGCTGTAATAAATAAAAAATAAAATAAATAAATAAAGTTAGTTGGGGAACTAGAGCGGTTCCGAGGACTCCTACCCGCATGTCAAAGTTCAACCTTAACTTGAATCTACATTGTACTTGGAAGTAACGGAATTTGCCCAAGATTTTCACTGTGTGTCTTTGTACTGTGTGTCTTTGTGTCTACTTGCAAGTACAGTAGTAGTCACCGGGTCTTCTTCAGGCAAAAAGTGTTTCTTGACATGATTGTAATGTGTATACATGTACATGTATGTGTGTGTGCGTGTGTGTAGGCATATGCGGATTCTGCCGGCAGAAAAATTGGCAGAATTCGGTACTTTTTCTGGTAAGTTTCATGCATGTTTGGTATGTGGATAAAGAAATGGAGCAGAATTCGAGGAATTGCCCGGCATAAGGTTTGTGTGGTTCTGCCAATTTCACTGCTTTTCGAGCAGAATCTGCCACCTTTTCGAACATTATTTTACAAGGGGCACCCCTACGTGTGTGTGTGTGTGGGGGGGGGGGGGGTGCGTGTGTGTGTGTGTGTGTGTGTGTGTGTGCCCTGTTTACTTAAATTAAAAAAATATTTTCCTTTTTTCATTTCGGCCAGTATGCCGATTTTGGAGGGTTCCTGTGAGATTCGCCGAAATGCCACCAAATTTTCCAATATCTCATCAATTTTGAAGCCAAAATGCCAACAATTGTTACAATTGTTTTAGTCAAGCGAGCGCTTGAACTGCAGTGCTAAAAAAATGTACCCAGGATTGCTGAGAGCAAGGGAAAGCCTGGAAGTTAGGAGTCTTAGGACTCGGGATAGATATTCTGCTTTTTCAAGCGTCGGTGCTGCCAAATTCTACACTCTCGTCTGTGTGGCGTTTTCTGCCGAATTCTCTGCCGGCATTATCGGCCAGTCCCTACCCCGAAAGTACAACTCTCTCTGCTCTTGCCCTTTATCCCTAATTTTAGTTCTAGTCCTCGAGCTTCTGTGCCTGTTTCTTCTTCTTTTTTCTTTTCTTTTCCTTTCCTTTCCATCAAATCATCAGAGATGCTAGATGGAGGCTGTTTGGTCATGTGCTGCGTTTGGAAGAGGCAGCCCCAGCCAGACGTGCCATGGGAGCTTACTTCTTAGGGGGTAACGGCCCCAGCTTTAGGGGACGCCCAAGAACAACGCTCCCGCGAACGCTCAATAATGATCTCAAAAAGCTGAAAAATAATACCGCCCTAGAGACTGGCGATGACTTGAACATGCTGCAGCAGCTTGCCCAAGACCGTCGACAGTGGCGGGAACTGGTGAAGGCTGTATGTAGCTGCTAATGAAACAATGGACATAATAATACATATTAATTTTATACCTTTATATGCGCGGATAAAACAAGAAATATCACCTTTATCCTTTATCACCTTAGTACCGCGATCCTTACTGGCTATGACACTGAATCGGATATGAGTTGATAGCGCCCCTAGCGCTTTCTGTTATCCTTGTCCCGCCATACTGGGCTTTAAATAGTGGGTTATTTTTCTTGATGTTCATATCACCTGATGAGTGCCTGAGATGGCATGAAACTTTAAGTTGTGACTGATCAAGCCATCTGTTGTTCTGACTAGTGTGTCACGGCTCTACCTTCCCGGTATCGAGCTCTCTTGGATTTCTGCTGGAATTCACAACAGTGTGGATCTGCTCCCAGTCCCTGGTTGAGCTCTCTCTCTAGCGGAAAGCCAGCAATGGATGGACTGAGAAGACTGGACATCGACTACTCACTGAAAAATATCCCGGTACCATCTGCTAAGGTCTAAGAACTTGAACTCTACCGATGACATCATCGTCCGCGCGGATAAAACAAGAAATATCACCTTTATCCTTTATCACCTTAGTACCGCGATCCTTACTGGCTATGACACTGAATCGGATATGAGTTGATAGCGCCCCTAGCGCTTTCTGTTATCCTTGTCCCGCCATACTGGGCTTTAAATAGTGGGTTATTTTTCTTGATGTTCATATCACCTGATGAGTGCCTGAGATGGCATGAAACTTTAAGTTGTGACTGATCAAGCCACAGGCAGGCAGGCAGGCATAGTGGGATGGTCTAAGACCATGATTGAGAAACAGAGGGTACCAGGTTCAAGTCCTGCTTGGAAGCGGAAGGATTTTTTCCAGCCGTGCTGCGACCCACAGTTAATTGGGAACTCGTGGCCTGGCACGAGGAAAACATGGATGCAGTGAATGGGATTTTCGGTCTTTGACCACTTGCTGGTGAGCTGATCTACTCACCTCCCACCGCTTTAGGAGCTGCATCTGCGCCTTGATCCTTGAAGGGTGGTGGCGTTCCTACGGATGCGGAAAACCCGGCTTCCAGCCGAGTCTCACGCGAACCGTGAAAAAAAATTAATTGATCAAGCCATCTGTTCTTCTGACTAGTGTGTCACGGCTCTACCTTCCCGGTATCGAGCTCTCTTGGATTTCTGCTGGAATTCACAACAGTGTGTACCTTTATATATAGATAATGGAGATGACTGCAACAGGCTGCAGCAGCTAGCCCAGGATCGCCCTCAGTGGCAGGACCTGGTGGCAGGACCTGGTGAAGGTTTTGTATGTAGCCGCTAATGCAACAATGGACATAACTTTGCGTTTCCATCTTGTCTTTTTTGTGATTGTGATGCTTGATGTGCACTGTGCTTCCTCGCATTCACTTGCTCCTTCTTGCAGCTTGTCTCTTTTTTTGTTTTTTGTTTTGTTTTGACGCTCTGTGTGCATTGCGCTTCCTCGCGCTCACTTGCTCCTTCTTGCGGCTTAAGCGAAGGCTATATGTGAGCTTTATAAGCTCACTGATGCTAACGCGAATAGAGCATAATAATAATAATAATAATATTAATACGAAATAGAGGTTGCGACTTCGGCGATGATTTTGTTTAGGAATGGGTTTGCTCCCACACTGGAGCTCGCGCTATTCCGCCGACGACAGTCGTGAGTCAGTCAAGTGTCAAGTCGTCGGCGGAATAGCGCGAGCTCCAGTGTGGGAGCAAACCCATTCCTAAATAATATTAATAATAATAATTCCTTTCCATTCTTTTTTATTCCTTGAAGCCCCCCCCCCTTTCTCTCCTCTTCTCTTCTTCGTCTCGTTGTGAGCAGGCCTGTTTGCCTGTTTGGTTGATCGACTATAGCAAGACTGCAATAACAGCAACACTAAGGCTGCGTTAGTTAACTACCTGGTAGAGTAGAGTCACGTTTGTGTTTGTATTTATGGATTCGCCGCAAGCCTTAGCCTAAATCGAGAGAGTCTCCGTCAACAGCTTATGAAGAAGAAGAAGCTGAGGAGAAAAATACGAACAAAAAGATAGAAAGATGCAGGGAGGTAGTCATTGAACACAGTGCTCTATGACATCACTACCCTACATGGAATATCCAAAAAGTATTCTTTCTAGACCAAAGAGTGGTATATTTGATAACATTTAATAACGATAGAAATATTTACGATACTTCTCCAGACGTTTCGTTGTTCTGAACAACATCGTCAGTGGATAACTTTCTTTATCCACTGACGATGTTGTTCAGAACAACGAAACGTCTGGAGAAGTATCGTAAATATTTCTATCGTTATTAAATGTTATCAAATATACCACTCTTTTAGTTTGGTCTAGAAAGAATACTTTTTTGATATTACAATGAGAGTGAATAATCAACGGCTTGTCCACCAACTCCTACATGGAATGAAAGCAGAGGGCTCATAACGGGTGATAGCAAAGTGGGTGCGGACAAGAGCGATAACACATTTTGGGCTGGATACAGTACGAATGGCAGCCGGGAGGGAGTTTCATGTGGCGGTCATGAAAAAGAGAAAGGTGGCACGGATATGTGTGCGGGCTCTAGCAGGCGGAAGCCGATGTTTGGGGGGGGGGGGGCTGGGGCGGCGGCGCCTGGCGCTGTTTGATGCTGTGTAGCCTAGGTCCTCCAGGGTTTTTAATGGATTCCCCAAAGGGGAGGCCTAAGTCGAGGGGGTCTGCGTTCATGGCTTACTGGGAATACACCTGCAAAATTATAACATATAGATTGAGAAGAGGGTTATAACGTTAGTCGCACACATGTCAGAAGGCGTAGTTCCCTGTTTGTGAGGCGACTTAAAAAAAAAAGTACAACCACGACGACGACGACAACAACAAGCATAGATCTGGCCTGGGTATCTTGGCCTAAAATGCCACTGACTCGCGCTCCCTGGCCTGCTCAATAACAGTGAATAGTCAATTTTAAAATTACTACTCGCTTGTCCATTGCTTCACTTCTCGTTTCGTTTCCGATGGCGATGCTACACTTGCGCTGCCCTCCGTACCGCAGCAGCTATTAGGAGAGCCGACAATCGGGAGTCGCACCAAAAACAGGCTCCCAGACAGGCTGGTACACTGTACGCTAGTGTCGATACAGTCTCTACACTAGTACACTACCTACCACCGACCTTTCAAAGACTGCTCGTACCCATTGCCACTGTGTTATTCTTGTAGTTGTATCACGCGATGCACGTAAGTCGTTAGCTCGCTCGTCTCTGAACGCAGCACGGAAAAGTCGCATCTGCTCTACAAATCTGCAAAAATGTCACCATGTTCGGCGCACCTCGTCTGAACTGGTACGGCAGCGACTCCCGTTTCAAGACCTTCTCAGGCACGCATATGGTCAGGGGGTTCTCTCTCTGCTCTGCAGGAGTACTAACAAGCAAGTCGTGCGTAGATTCGACGAGATCTGTCGCTCCGGAAAGGAGCGCTGGGCCGTATCGGGCCGCGGGTTCAAGACAGCAGCTTGCCACGGATATGGACATGTACGAGAGTGGGCTGTATCCTCTAGGAACGCCGCATTCCCCTTGTTTCGGCTTCATATCCTGCCGTTCGGCCACAGCTGCTCTCAGTTTTCTGCACCCCGTCTTGCTCAAACGTGCCGTTTCTTGCTCTTGGACCTTGTGCTCTCGGTGAGTTTAGATACCTGTTTCAACTAGTGTCCTCCTTGCTGTTCAGCATGGACGGACGGACCCCTGTCCACTTAGAGTATAGGCTGAGCGGTCCAGCGACCCGCACATTTGTGAAGTTCCATGACAATGTACTCCCAAAGTGTAGTGGTATCCTCGACGGCAGCTGATTCCTAGATAACAATCATGTTGAGGGAGGGGTTAGTGCTGGCAAGATAGGGAGTCGCTAACAAGCCTTTCTGCCACACGTATTCAGCTGCTGCATCGGTGGAATTGTATTCCGTCTCAGTACTGCCATCTGTCCAATCATGCAGGTCCTCCTCCGGTACCATCTGGAGAATGGGGTGGGGACGCCTTGAGAGTTCTGTCGTACCAGCGATCCAGGGCGGTCGGATGCTACTCGCGATAGCTCACAACATTAACCAGTCTGGCATACATCACTCCACATCTCGTTCTGCCTGAAATGCCTTCTGGGAGCCCGAACCATCTTGATTTTGTTTTGGACGTTTGCTTCCGTTTTTGGTGCAGTTTTCGGCGAAGTCATGGCTTTCAAGCTGTGCGTTCTCCTTGCCGTTTTGGCTGTGGTCGGTAAGTCTGTGTGAGGTCCCTGTTTAGTTGCAGACAATCGCAACTCTGCTTGTGCGTGTGTGTGTGTGTGTGTGTGTGTGTGCGTGCGTGTGCGTGCGTGTGTGTGTGTGTGTGTGTGTGTGTGTGTGTGTGTGTTCGGAGCACACCGAACTATTGAGCCTGTACATAACGTATTATCTCTAATATAAGCACAGTCTCCAATAATAGCACGTCTCCAATAATAGAACACCTTGGGGCGGCATTCAAAAAATAAAGTGCTCAGTCTCCATTATAACCACACTGTGTAAATTCATTATCTGTACTGGCGAAAAAACCCTGAAATGTGTGTGTCTGACATGAATTTGGCATGGCAACATGCCTCTGAAATGAGGTTGAAACAATAATGGAACAGTCTCCAATAAAGGAACGTCTCCATTAATAGCACGGGGCGGAGGTACATTGAAAAAATAAAGGACCGTGCTTATATTAGAGATAACACGGGTATGTAACATGATGTGCCTTGTGGGTAACCAGATGTGTGACTGTGCCGGATGAACTCGAATTCTGGGTGAGAATTTAGCTCAATTGAAACAATAACAAAATATGGGAAGGCTGCAATCATCGAGGTTTTGAGCACTAAACTGATAAAGTAGGAAAGAAGTGCCTTAAATACGAAGTATATCGTCTTCCACAGCTGCAGTCACACACTGGCTTTCAGTCCTCAGTACGGAATTCCTTTGCCGATTTCAGGTCGACCTTTTGCATTCACAGTCGTTCGTAGTGTCCCATATAATTATAGAGTCACGTCCTGTTAATCTAAGCTCGAATGACCAGAAGAGTTGAACTCTCGGCTATGCAGTAAAACTCCCCGAATTCGGGCAGGTTGGGACCGAGGACTGGCAGTAACTATGAATCGCCCATAACTCAGAACAAACATACTTTTACTGCATGCAAGTAAAGATTTTATGCCAATCAATATGACTGTTTTGGCGCTGTACTATATTCACAGGAAGTGTGAGTTACGAAGTCTGAAGAAAATGTTGAACAGTCTCTGCTGGGATGACGACTACACCATAGGTCAGTGGTGACTACACCATAGCTCAGTGGTTAGAGCATCGCTAGCTACAAGCCCTAGACCCTGGAAAAGCGGATATAGCGACATTTCGCCCTAGACCCTGGAAAAGCGGATATAGCGACATTTCGCCCTAGACCCTGGAAAAGCGGATATAGCGACATTTCGCCCTAGACCCTGGAAAAGCGGATATCCCTAAAATGCAGTACAGTTTAAAAATGGACAGGGAACATAATTATAATAGACTCGAGTCGAGAGCCAGGGATAATTTGTAGCAAAGAAAAAATAACCAAGGAACTACAAATTACGCTATACGAGTAATGTCCACTAACACAAACAGTCACTTGACAATACAGCTCAAGCGATCACTTTACACGACACTGACTTGGGAGGGGGCGGGGGGTAGTTGAAGAACGTCAGTACCGTCCGTCAGTGGCTTGCAAAGTTATCGCTTGAGATGATTGTCAAGTAGCTGGTAGTGTGTTATAGCATAACTTGTAGTTCCTTGCTCCTTTTCTTTGCTATAGCGAAACCATGGGATTTCATTCTGGACCCTTTCAGCAAATATTTTTTGAAGCTACAAATGGCTGTGGCTGTGGCTGTGGCTGTGGCTGTGGCTGTGGCTGTGGCTGGGTTTTACACTCTGAAAACTGGTTTTTGACAGCAGAAAAGTTGTAACCAAGCAATGGTGGAATGACACACTTTCATTGAACGAACTTCCACTCTTCGGCTTACACCTGTTGACTGTGTTCTCATTTTCTCAAGTGCAGCTTTATCGAGCCACACTTTTACTTCTATCACCATCATAATATTGGGCATCAATGCCCGTTTGGTTTGCGATGTAAAATAAAACTTTAAACAAAGAAAAAAAACACGAAAAGCAAGGAAACCTGAATAGTAGTACTTTCGAGGTCGCCCACACTATCATTTTGTAGCCAATGCAGTAGACAAGAAACTGTTTCAGCCAGCTAAGCCTCGTCAATCATGCTGTATGAATGTTGCACGCTGTTCGAGCACCGCTAGCTGATTCACAACTTCAGACTTGTCCACGGAAACGGGTGGTTTTTCTCGCCGAGTTCTCCATCCCACTTTCCAAGAGTGTCGCGACCAAATTCCGAGTTCCGCACGTCCCCATCGAACAGTTGATCCACAGGTGCACATTCTGTAACGGCATCATATGAAAGTACCTCATGCACGGATATACCTGCCCGTTAGTGTCTACGCTATTGTAGGAGTTGCATTTTGATAGAGAGTATATTTTTCGCAGTAATAGAGTATTTATTTGTAGAGCTTATGTGGATACAGATTCCTAGGTTCGAACCCCAAGATGGGCGGTTAGTTACATTTTTTCTCTCCTTGCGTATTTTGTATCTGCATGTTATTACCCTTTCCGTGAGTCGCTCGTGAGTAATGTATGAGTCGTGTATGGCTAAACCCGTGAATGGGCAGTGCATTACGAAATAGTTATTACGGTTTGTTCTAACAAATACAATGGGTAATAGATGAGGAATACAGGTTGAATCCTGTTAAGGTGAATAGTAAATTTGAAGGCAAAACGTTAAAATGCAACCAGAAAGAAGAGTTGTGTCATGGCTCGTAAGCATTGCTTATTTTGTCGACATGCCTCATTGTATTGTAGGAACACCTCCCTGATAGTTCTAATATGGCTTAGGAGTCCAGGACTGTTGCAGTCCTTGCTGATTTGCTGCTGTGAAGCAGACATCATGAGAATAATTCCTGCCCTCGCACAAACTCGAATGAAGCCGCCACGAATCGTTGCTTGCTGAACAACAGCCCAACATGACGAGAAAGAAGAACTGCTCCACAACAACAAATCAGCAAGGACTGCAAGGACTCTCTCTCTCTCTCTCTCTCTTTCTCTCTCTCTTTCTCTCTCTCTCTCTCTCTCTCTCTCTCTCTCTCTCTCTCTCTCTCTCTCTCTCTCTCTCTCTCTCTCTCTCTCTCTCTCTCTCTCTCTCCTCTCTCCCTCTCTCTCTCTCTCTCTCTCTCTCTCTCTCTCTCTCTCTCTCTCTCTCTCTCTCTCTCTCTCTCTCTCTCTCTCTCTCTCTCTCTCTCTCTCTCTCTCTCTCTCTCTCTCTCTCTCTCTCTCTCTCTCTCTGTTGTGTCCCTCAGTCAAGTCATATTATTATGACTTCTCACGAGCATGCGCACGAGAGATGCATGCTCGTGTGAAGTTGGTTTGGGATGTTCGGAGGCAGTCTTCTCTTGCTGCAGCTAAGTCTGGTTGAAGATAATTACATTCCGAGTTCAGAGCCGTTCAGAGTGAGCCAGTTACGTGTGTGTATAAACTGCATGATTAGATCATTATATGGTCTAGGCAGGGGACCATACACTCTCTCTCTCTCCCCTTCCCAGAGAGGGAAATGGAGAGGAATATGTCCCCCCCCCCCTTAACTAGAATATTTACTTTCTTTGTTTACTATTCCTCCATCTCAGCTTCTAAGCCACTGATCCACAACCACCAAATTCATAGTAAGACTCATTTGCCTGTGTTGGTTTTTCTGTGTTATCTTTGTGTCTTTTCTCTCTCTTTTTCCCTCTCCCCTATCTCTCCCTATCTATCTATCCCTTTCTTTCTCTCCTCCCTCTCTCTCTCTCTCTCTCTCTCTCTCTCTCTCTCTCTCTCTCTCTCTCTCTCTCTCTCTCTCTCTCTCTCTCTCTCTCTCTCTCTCTCTCTCTCTCTCTCTCTCTCTCTTCTTTCTTTCGCTCCCCCCCTCTCTCTCTCTCTCTCTCTCTCTCTCTCTCTCTCTCTCTCTCTCTCTCTCTCTCTCTCTCTTCACCTTGACTCGTCAGGGGAAATAGGACGTCATAGTACATTTGAGACCAGCAGGAAGAAGATGACGATGCCCACTAATTTAGTATCTGTGCACGCAAATGTGTTGTGTTTGTAACTTTCGTCAGGCGAAACAGCACGTCATAGTACATTTGAGAACAGGGGGAAGAAGATGACGACGTCCACTAATTTAGTATCTGTGCACACGAATCTGCTGTGTGTATGACTCTGTGTGTCAGCTATGACATCAACCCCTGTGGTTCCATGCCTAGCATGTACGTCTGAACCATCCTGCAAAGTTTGAATGACGTAGGTTGAGCGATCGCTCCGCGAAACATACTTTTTGAAATTCTCTTCATAGTATATCTTCCACCATTGAAATTTCGAATTTCTTGCTGAGAGGGGTGGCTTGCAACCTCGATATAGCTTGTTCCAGGCATGCTTTGGAGCCATCCCCTGTTGAAGTAGAGGCGGGGATCTGCCCTGCAACTGCTACAACAAAAAAATGATTCGATCTGAGAAAGGGTGAGACTGCGAATCTCGGTTGAATATTGAGTATTTCAAGCCTTTTCACGACGAAGATGGAGTTCTTTTTGGAGATCGATGTCGTGGCAAAGGACATGGTGTCCGACTTCTGGCGTCTGGTGAAGCCAGGGATCATTTGTCCAGTCAGGTCGGCAGCCTAACCGTCAGTAAGCTTGTGTTTGGATCCCGTTCTGCTCGATGTGGTAGATCACAAACAATTTGATATCGCACAAATTGATCTCAGCATCGTGCGTCCGGTATTTCATATTCAGAAAATCCCAAAGTGTCTCTGTGTGGCCGTCCTATGCCACGAGAAACTCCAATCAGGCTCCTATGTCCTCTGCCTTCATGATTGAATGTCCACTTCATTTGAACAACGAACACAACAATCGAGGACAGCTTTGCAATGAAAAATACAGCTATACTGGAGCTGAAAAAAGAAGAAAAAAAACATGCTCAGGTTGAGACTCGAGTACACGCATACTCTCCCAGCAGGTGAAACGCAAATTTTTGTGAAAAATGCGTGTCGCCGACTGACCAGTAATTTTGCCTGACGTTGTGTGTCAGCTATGACACCAGACCCTGTGCAACCATGCCTGGTATGTAGGTGCCGAACCATCCTGCGAAGTTTGAATGATGTAGGTTGAACGATCGTGTGGACAACCATACATTTTGAAATTCTCTTCGGAGTACCTTGCACCATTGAAATTTCTAATTGTTTGATGAGAAGGGTGGCTTGCAACCTCGATACAGCTTGTTCCATGCATGCACTGGAGCTAGACACTGTTGAAGTAGTGGGGGGAATCTGCCCTGCAACTGCTACAACGAAAAATGGTTCGATCTGAGAAAGCGTGAAACTGACAGGCTTAGTTTTAAATTTGGAGTATTTCAAGCCATTTGAGACGAAGATGGAGTTCTTTTTGGAGATGGACGCCGCGGCGAAGAACATGGCTTCCGACTTCTGGCGTCTCGTGAAGCCAGGGATCATGTGTCCAGTCATGTCGGCAGCCTAATCGTCGGGAAGCTTGTGGGTAGGATCCAGTTCTACTCGATGTGGTAGATCACCCAAAAAATTATATCACACAAATTGAACTCTGCATCGTGTGTACGGTATTTTGTATTCAGAACATCGCAAAGTGTCTCTGTGTGGCCGTCCTATGCCATGAGAAACTCCAATCAGGCTCTTATGGCCTCTGCTTTCTTGACTGAATATCCACCTCGTTTGAACAACGGACACAACAATCGAGGACGGCTTCGCAATGAAAAATAAGCCCATTGCGTATTGCCAAATATGGAAGGTATGCGTAATGCATGTGAGTACACTGGGATCAGCAATGCACTGTTCAACACCCCAGACGACCATGCCCAGGTGGCTGTGTGGCGTCAGGCGAAATAGCACGTCATAGTACATTCGAGATCAGCGGGAAGAAGATGACGACATCCACTAATTTAGTATCTGTGCACACGAATCTGCTGTGTGTGTTACTCTGTGTGTCAGCTATGGCATCATCGCCAGTGGTTCCATGCCTAGCATGTACGTCGGAACCATCCTGCAAAGTTTGAATGACGTAGGTTGAGCGATCGCTCCGCGAAACATACTTTTTGAAATTCTCTTCATAGTATATCTTCCACCATTGAAATTTCGAATTTCTTCGAATTTTTTTGCTGAGAGGGGTGGCTTGCAACCTCAATATGGCTTTTTCCAGGCATGCTTTGGAGCCATCGCCTGTTGAAACAGTGGCGGGAAGCTGCCCTGCAACTGTCCCAGCAGGAAATTAATCGATCCGAGAAAGCGCGAGTCCGCGAATCTCGGTTGAATATTGAGTATTTCAAGCCTTTTCACGACGAAGATGGAGTTCTTTTTGGAGATGGACGTCGCGGCAAAGGACATGGTGTCCGACTTCTGGCGTCTGGTGAAGCCAGGGATCATTTGTCCAGTCAGGTCGGCAGCCTAACCGTCGGTAAGCTTGTGTTTAGATCCCGTTCTGCTCAATGTGGTAGATCACAAACAATTTGATATCGCACAAATTGATCTCAGCATCGTGCGTAAGGTATTTTATATTCAGAAAATCCCAAAGTGTCTCTGTGTGGCCGTCCTATGCCACGAGAAACTCCAATCAGGCTCCTATGTCCTCTGCCTTCATGATTGAATGTCCACTTCGTTTGAACAACGAACACAACAATCGAGGACGGCTTTGCAATGAAAAATACAGCTATACTGGAGCTGAAAAAAAGAAGAAAAAACGTACTCAGGATGAGACTTGAGTACACGCATACTCTCCCAGCAGCTGAAATGCAAATTTTTGTGAAAAATGCGTGTCGCCGACTGACCAGTAATTTCGCCTGTTTATGGTACAAATTGCGTCATTGCGGAATGGGCTTATACAGCTACACTGGAGCTGAACGTGCTCAGGATGAGACTCGAGTACACGCGCACTCTCCCAGCAGGTTCTGTGGATGTCGCTCATAGATGCTTAATTTCGAGTGCCGATCTATCTTTCCCTCTCGCTCTGGCTGTCTCTCTCTTATTATTTCTATCTCTCTCTCCTTTCTCTGCTCACAATAATTGCTTTTTCTGTTTGTGTTACCTCCTTCCCAGTTGTTTCTACCATCCACCATCATACCAAATCCGCTGAAGTCCACCGTCATACCAAACATGCTGAAGGTAGTTAGTCTGACAGTGCTACTCCTGTCGATGCATTTGCGTGTCTCAGTCCGTCCGTCCATCCGTCTTTGCGTCCATGACTGTTCGTCTCTGTCTTTTTCTGCGTTTCTCTCTCTGTCCGTCTCCTGGTATCTTTCTCTCCTGGTATATACCTGTCTACTGTTCTGTATTTCTGTCTGTCTGTTTGTCTGTCTGTCTGTCTGTCTGTCTGTCTGTCCGTCTGTCGGTCTGTCTGTCGGTCTGTCTGTCTGTCCGTCCGTCTGTCGGTCTGTTGGTCTGTCTGTCTGTCTGTCTGTCTGTCGGTCCCTCTGTCTGTCTGTCGGTCTGTCGGTCTGTCTGTCTGTCTGTCTGTCTGTCTGTCTGTCTGTCTGTCTGTCTGTCTGTCTGTCTGTCTGTCTTTCTGTCTGACTGTCTATCACTCTCTCTTGCACCCCTTTCCTTCTTTCTTATCTATCTTAATTCCTTAACTCACAATTGCATGTTTTCCCGTGTGACATCCACCTCAGTTTCTCCGGCCGTCCGTCACATGGACAATCAAAAATATCAAGGTCAGAATACTTTGCATTCTTGTGTGTTTGTGTATGTGTGTGTATGTGTGTCTGTGTGTGCGCGCGCACGCGCGTCCGTGCGCATGTGTGTGTGTGTGTGGGTGTGTGTGTGTGTGTGTGTGTGTGTGTGTGTGTGTGTGTGTGTGTGTGTGTGTGTGTGCGTATGTGTGTGAGTGTGTGTGTGTGTGTGTGTGTGTGTGTGTGCATATGTGTGTGAGTGTGTGTGTGTTTGTGTGTGTGTGTGTGTGTGTGCATGTGTATGTATGTGTGCATGTGTGTGCATGTGTGTGTGTGTCTGTTTGTTTGTCTGCCTGTCTGTCTGTTTGTTTGTCTGTGTATGTGTGTGTGCGCGCGTGCGTGCACGTGTGCGTGTGTGCATGTGTGCATGTGTGTGTGTGTGTGTGTGTGTGTGTGTGTGTGTGTGTGTGTGTGTGTGTGTGTGTGTGTGTGTGTGTGTGTGTGTGTGTGTGTGTGTGTGTGTGTGTGTGTGTGTGTGTGTGTGTGTGTGTGTGTGTGTGTGTGTGTGTGTGTGTGTGTGTGTGTGTGTGTGTGTGTGTGTGTGTGTGTGTGTGTGTGTGTGTGTGTGTGTGTGTGTGTGTGTGTGTGTGTGTGTGTGTGTGTGTGTGTGTGTGTGTGTGTGTGTGTGTGTGTGTGTGTGTGTGTGTGTGTGTGTGTGTGTGTGTGTGTGTGTGTGTGTGTGTGTGTGTGTGTGTGTGTGTGTGTGTGTGTGTGGTGTATGTGCGTGCATGCATGTGTTTGTGTGTGCATGTCTGTATTCGTGTGCATGTCTGTATTCGTGTGCATGTGTGTGTGTGTGTGTGTGTGTGTGTGTGTGTGTGCATGTGTGTGTGTGTGTGTGTGTGTGTGTGTGTGTGTGTGTGTGTGTGTGTGTGTGTGTGTGTGTGTGTGTGTGTGTGTGTGTGTGTGCGCGTGTGCATATGTGTGTGAGTATGTGCGTGTGTGCTCGTACATACCTGGACAGTCTGCATTTTCTGAATGGGTGCTGTGTGTGCGGTTAGGGGCTCTTCATTGCTGTATGCAGCCAAAGTGAAAGTGGCTCTTACATCAGGGCCGTCGCAAGGTATTTCAGAGTGGTACGGTCAGTCACCCGGAGTACTGTCAGCCTACTCGTGTGGCTGGGATGACTTCTCTGAAAAATAAACCAAACTTAGAGCCCAAATCAGAGCATGTTTTTAAGTTACGGGGCACCCGGCACAAACAGTGGTACGGTCAATACCGCAGTTTGTTTGTTTGTTTGTATTCTTTATTTAGAGTGGGAAGTCCAAAACAGGCCCTAGCCTAATAACAATTGCAATAGGTGTCTTAATGCTACGACCTGTACATACTCACTATTCGTATTTCCCGCTCGTTCCCCTTGGCAATGAGACTCACATATAGAAGAGCGCATGCTCCAGTGGGTCTCCAGTTCAGTTCTGTTCTGTTCTAGTCTGTCTTGAGTTGTCGTTGTCCTGTTCTCCTTTCCATTCCTGTCTACACTCTTGTCGAATACTTCTATAATCCAATCATATAAAACCCCTGTGTTCCGGTGTGAGGGGACTTCATTAGCCGGGAGCAGCTAACACAATGTTCCCACTAGTGATTGTAGCATTTCCGATGCCCCAGTACATTTCCTTTGTCCATTTCTTGTTTTGCTTCCTGCAGCCATACGGGCCGAATACAAAAAACACGAGGCCATGGCCGAGAAGGAACTTAGTAAGAACAATGCTTTTTCTATGGCTATTGCCTCTGTGTGCGCGTGTGTGTGTGTGTGTGTAGCATTATGGTGATAATGCAAATTAATGGGTGCACGCAGCTTTCTGCTACCGCTCAATCTATGCTGCTATGTTTGATGGTGCTGTTACTGCATGCTCACGCTTTGCTGCTGGCTAGGGTCTCTGTGCAGCTTGGCACTCTGCATGATATTGAATGCATCTCTCTACGTGACATTGATCGTGTCTCTGTTCATGCGTGTCGCTGGCCTCCGACGCATGGCGTTATCACATGGCGTTATCACATGGCGTTATCACATGGCGTTATCGTGGCGCTTGCTTGTAACTCAACGTGGGTGGGTTTGGCGGTGCTATGATGGCGCTTGCTTGTAACTCAACGTGGGTGGCATGCATCGTTGCATGTCTTGCTAGAGTTTGCTCTGCTATATATTTTCGATCCGTTCTGTGCGACGATCATTCTTGTTTGCTCGTAGTGTTTCACCCTCCCACCTCCCATTTCTCATCACTAATTTGCTTTGATAAAGTGAATAAACGGGGTGTTGGCCACGCTCATTTCCGGCTACTCAGGGCCCTCGGTCGCCGTCCCTCGGACGCAGACTCTTGTAGATACTTGGCTCCGCCAACATTCAGCTTCGGCAGTGTCTACCCGGCCGAACCCTGAATCCTCTCTCGTAGATACTTGGCTCCGCCAACATTCTGCTCCGGCAGTGTCTACGTATTTCTTTCCGTAGCCTCTCACTCCGCTGGCCGGCACTCCCCCATACCGCAAGTTGCTGTGTGTTGTAGTTAATGTGTGTGTGTGCGTGTGTGTGCGTGCGTGCGTGTGTACTCTGTAACTGTGTGTCTGTATGCGTCTCGTACTGCAGTGCCGCTTATTTATACTCTGGAAAGTACAGTAAATAGATTTTTGTTGTTGCGTGAAGGTGATGGTGAGCAAGTCGTTAGCCTAGAGTAGGCACCGGCGGATTATGCCCGAAAAGGTGGCAGATTCTGCTCGAAAAGCAGTGGAATTGGCAGAACCATACAAACCTTATGGTGGGCAATTCCTCGAATTCTGCTCCATTTCTTTATCCACATACCAAACATGCATGAAACTTACCAGAAAAAGTACCGAATTCTGCCAATTGTTCTGCCGGCATTATCCGCCGGTGCCTAGCCTAGAGGCAGATGTGACCCTGTGGATTTGATGAAAAACATAGTTCATTCTGTCATCTTTCTGCAGTGGCTGAATTCGAAAAAAAGGCAAATATCGCTCATCAGCAGGACACAGGTAATCCACAGAGGGAAGAGGGAGTACCAGATACTGAAGACCTGATTCCTGAAATAGAAGAGACTACACCAGTTACTGAAGAAGGAACACCCGAAATGGAAGATGGTATTCAGGATACGGAAGAGGCGATATCAACCATGGAAGAGGGAACACCAGAGACTGAGTCGGATGGCGCAACCTGCAACAACAAAAATCATCATCATCATCATCATCATCATAAGCACCATGCTCCTATTGCAAAGGTCCCTAGTGAGTGGCTTGCTTACCTGTGCCTGTGCCTGTGTGTGTGTGTGTGTGGGGGGGGGGGGGGGGGGGGTGGGTGCGTGCATGCGTGCGTGCGTGCGTGTGTGTGTGAGTGTGTGCGCGTGCGTGCGTGCGTGCGCGCGTGTGTGTGTGTGTGTGTGTGTGTGTGTGTGTGTGTGTGTGCGTGCGTGCGTGCGTGCGTGCGTGCGTGCGTGCGTGCGTGTGTGTGTGGGCATGTAACTGTGTTGGTGTATTTGTGTTTTTTTTTACTGTGCTGAGTGATGCTGGGAACTGTGGAGGTTACATCTGATGTGGGAGTTGCTTTCTCACCACATTATCTCTTCTCTGCTATTGTCTGCATGCATACAGCACCTGTTGTGTCTGCCGCCAAGGAACCAATTGCATCCGATACTGAGCATCTCTATGACACACCCATACCGAAGGCGAATTCCTCATCCTTGAAGGACGTGACGGACGATTTCACAGTCGATGGGCCCTCTGGATCCGAGGAGCCTGTGTTGCAGGAATCGGAGCCTGAGCAGTCCTCTCTGGATGGATCTCTGTCCCAGTCCCAGGAGGCTGTGGACGAGGAGTCTGTGCATGAAGAGTCTGTGGGTGAGGAGTCGGTGGACGAGGAGTCTGTGGTTGAGGAGTCTGTATCTGATACTGAGCACATCTTTGACTCACCAATTCCGAAGGCGGATCCCTCATCTTTGAAAGACGTGACGGACAATTTCGAAGTTGATGGGTCCTCTGTATCCGAGGAGACCGTGTCCGAGGAGTCGGAGCCTGAGCAGCTGGAGACCTCATCTTCGAGGGAAGATACCGACGACTTCACGCATGGCCATACCAATAATGACCAGCCCGAGTGTAAGTGTGTGTGTGTGCGTGCGTGCGTGCGTGCGTGCGTGCGTGTGCGTGTGTGTCTGTGTGTGCGCGTGCGTGTGTGTGTAACTTGTGTGTGTGTGTGTGTGTGTGTGTGTGTGTGTGTGTGTGTAACTTGTGTGTGTGTGTGTGTGTGTGTGTGTGTGTGTGTGTGTGTGTGTAACTTGTGTGTGTGTGTGTGTGTGTGTGTATGTGTGTGTGTGTGTGTGTGTGTGTGTGTGTGTGTGTGTGTGCGTGTGCGCGCGCACGTGCGTGTGTGTGTGTGTGTGTGTGTGTGTGTGTGTGTGTGTGTGTGTAACGGGGTTTATACCAACCAGACTCGTTATAATGAAGTAGGACCTACATGTATATGTAATGAACAATACAGTGTGTGCAGTGCTGCTAGGGCTGTCTCGCCATACATGCCATTGAAAATTTGAAATTTGATTGAAATTGAATTGAAATTAGATAAACAATTACGTGCGCACACACCTCAGACCTCAGACCTGCCCATGATAGCGAACAGCTATGTTAGCCATAGCAACTTGTGCTGGGTTCACACCATTCAACAGCTTGCAAGGCTGATGAATTGACCGCCACTAATTTTAGCATGGTCTCCACCACTCAGCTGATTGAAGTGGCTTTTTCTGGCCAGTGAATCCCTATTTTTCAGTACACACACACACACACACACACACACACACACACACACACACACAACAACACACACACACACACACACACACACTTGTACTTGTACTTGTTGCTCACTGCCAAAACTGGTCACGTGGGTCTCCCCGGAAGAGGGGAGAGAGACTCAAAAGGAATATTGGAAAGATGACTCAACTGGCTATTGAACCGCCCAACGGCCGACACTCCCTGAAATCCCCAAAACTCTGGGTGGACTTGAAAATGATCCCACTTATGGGCTCACCACACCTCCGTAAGTGGGTGAGGACAAGGTGCAGAAAAAGGATTGATGGCATCAGGGTATCCGTCCTGGGATCCAACTGCAGTTACCCCTTCCCCAGTGAAGGTAATACTTGCTACTAGTGTGGGTGGCTAAATCAGAGTGGATCTGATAAAAGCTTCACTAGCACCGTTGATTACACAAGAGTTAATCTAGCCAGAAGCAGTCCATGGTTAACAGGTATGTATACTTCAAACAGAAAGTATATGAGCCCTGGAACCAACAAAGGTGGCAGGTACACACACACACACACACACACACACACACACACACACACACACACACACGTGCACAAACACACACACACACACATAAACACACACATACACACACACACACAAACATAAGTTACACACACACACGCACGCACACACACACACACACACACACACACACACACACACACTCTCTCCTCCAGGCCACATACTTTCAGAGTTCCACTCTACATGTACACGTGTTCATTATAAGCTCTGCCTTCGAAACGGGTATCTCCGACTTTTGTCACATAATGGCGAAGGTGTGTAAGTCATTATAGTGTAGTGCGTTTCAAAACCAAAAGTAGAGACTTCTGGTTTCAAGAACCGTTACGCCAGCATCTAGGCCACATAAAATCTGTGACCCCTTTGTGCATAAAGCTCCCGAAATTGAGCGTTTGTTGCCCAATCGCTTAGAACTCTATAGGGGATAAATCGGGGGAATAGCCTGAGCAATTTCCCAAAGAAATTTCTCCAAAAAGCTCAAACCAAATTTGAATTATTTGAAAAAGTCTTAGAGGTCTATACTTTTGAAATGCGCTATAGACTAGAGACCGGCTTGGTCCTAGGGATTACTCCAAGATAGAGTTCCTTCTTTTGTTTGATCTACAGCTACTGAAATTGTAGAGGACGAACACCATTCTCACCATGAGCAGGGGTCGTCGTCATCATCATCGGAGTCGTCAGAGGAAGAATGCGATTGCAAGAAGAAAGGCCACAACCACCATCATAAGCACGGTCTCCCTGCGTCGCCAGTCCGCAGTAAGTGGTGTGCTTGTGTGTGTGTGTGTGTGTGTGTGTGTGTGTGTGTGTGTGTGTGTGCGTGTGTGCGTGTGTGTGCGTGTGTGCGTGTGTGTGTGTGCGTGTGTGTGTGTGTGTGTGTGCACGTGTGTGCATGTTGTTGTTGACTTTCATTTTACTTCACCAATTGCACATGCCTTCTTACCGGCCCATAGGTCCGGTTCTCACGGAAAGATGAAGGAAATTATATGAGGAAATGTATAGAGATAAAGACATGCAAGCGGTATAATTATTATTATAGAAATGCATTGCGATAACAAAATTAATAATATGTAGTGGAAGCATTTCATGAAAATATATGTGTGAACATTGGCAGACTTTGTTGGATGGGCACAATTTTAAGCAGTCCAGGGAACATGAAGTACAGCGAGAGGTGTTTGACTGTTGGCATAGAGTTTACAAGTTAAGTAGGTCAATATCAGATAGGGCTCCCTTGAAAACTGCTTTGATCGGCAGCAGTTATCGATCTGACATCAGCCGAGAGGGCGTTCCATGCAATACTGCCGTGAAACACCATACTCGAGCGACAAGCAGGCCTGCGAAGGAAAGGGACATGGAGCAAGTTGGAGACTTGGCCCCTAGTGATGCGCTGATCGTTTAGCACAGTATTTGGAGCAGTCATTGTAAAGAGTTGCTGTAGGAGTGGGCTACAATATCCATTGATACAGCGGTGTACAAAAATTAGAACTTTCTGAGTGTATGTGTGTGCCAGGCTGACAATACTAAGAAGTGCCAGAAGCGGTGCGGTGGGGGTGAGAAAGTGCTGTTGCAAGGTTGCACGAATGCCGGTTTTGAAACTCTTCTCCAGACCTCCAAGCAACTGGGCAGAAAGCCCCGGAACAAAGCTATTCGAACCATAGCATAGCTGAGAGAGGACCATGCTGAGGAACCAAGTGCATCTTGCGCGCAAACTGAGTCCTTGACCATGCCTCCAGAGCTGGCCAATGGTCCTAGCAGTCTTGCGGCTCAGGTGTGCAATGTGGGGCTTCCATGTATGCATGCGCATGTGTGCGTGTGTACGTGTGTGTGTATTTGGGGGGCAAGTGTATCTGAGTGGGCGTATGGATGTGTGTGTGTGTGTGTGTGTGTGTGTGTGTGTGTGTGTGTGTGTGTGTGTGTGCCAGCTAGTTCGGTTGGTGGGTACACTTATGCCAGATAGTGTTGGGCCTGTTGCCAACGGGCTCGGCTGCTTGAAGGTGTATTGTTGTACCTACCACCTTTGTTGGTTTCAGGGTTCATATACTTTCTATTTGAAGTATACATACCTGTTAACCATGGACTACTTCTGGCTAGATAAACTCTTGTGTAATCAATGGTGCTAGTGAAGCTTTTATCAGATCCACTCTGATTTAGCCACCCACACTAGTACCAAGTATTACCTTCACTGGGGGCAGGGGTACCTGCAGTTGGATCCCAGGACGGATACCCTGATGCCGTCAATCCTTTTTCTGCACCTTGTCCTCACCCACTTACTGAGGTGCGGTGAGCCCATAAGTGGGATCATTTCAAGTCCACCCTAGTTTGGGGATTTCAGGGGGTGTCGGCCGTTGGGTGGTTCAATGGCCAATTGAGTCATCTTTCCAAGATTCCTTTTGAGTCTCTCTCCCCTCTCCCGGGGAGACCCACGTGACCAGTTTTGGCAGTGAGCAAGTACAAGTACAAGTACAAGTGTGTGTGCATGTAACTGTGTTGGTGTATTTGTGTTTTTTTTTTACTGTGCTGAGTGATGCTTGGAACTGTGGAGGTTACATATGATGTGGGAGTTGCTTTCTCACCACATTATCTCTTCTCTGCTATTTTCTTTCCATACAGCACCTGCTGACGAAGGAGTCGAGGAACCAGTTGCGCCCGATACTGAGCGCATCTTTGACTCTCCTCTGCCAAAGGCGGATCCCTCATCTTTGAAGGACGTTGTGGATGATTTCACAGTCGTATCCGAGGAAACCACTGAGACATATCCAGAGAACAGTTCCCCCCAGCACCCACCATTGTCCGACATGTTCTCTGACACTGATGGTTCTGCTCCGGAACACGTTGCTTCGAACGCTGAGTCTGAGCCCGCGGAGGAGTCGTACGAGTCGGAACCGACTCGTGCCGAGTCTGCGGAGTCGTACGAGTCGGAACCGACTCGTGCCGAGTCCGTGAACGAGAATGTAGCTGCCGATCAGTCCAACGAGGATGTGTATTCTCTCGACCAAGCCTCTCAGGATCCAGTTGCTCCCGAGACCACGCTGGCCTCGTCGGAGGAGGATCCTCTCCTCCAGCCCGCGGTGTCCGCGTCAGGATCCGAGTCTGGATTCGAGGGACACGATGAGTCACTGGCCGAGGAAGATTCCCCTGCCGTGACCGAACTGGGCTCCGACTCTGAGGACCTAGCAGAGATGGAACACACAAACAATGTCTATTCTATTGATGAGTCTTCTGAGGAACACGTGCCTTCGAGCTCCGTGTCTGCTTCCCAGGACGCTGATGAATCCAGACCGGATTACGACGAATTGGTGAATTCCGACGGATCTTTCTCCGAGGACGAGCCTGCTGGCTCCGAGTCTGAGTCCGAAAGCACTTCTGATGACGACTCTTCGCAGACATCTGCTCACGGAGACTCTGAGTCGGACTGTGAGTCAGAAGATGAGAACCACGACCATTCCTCTCACGAGTCTCTGGCTGATGGCTCCGTGTCCGCGTCTGAGGAGATTGACGAGTTTAAGACGTCCGTGTCCCAGTCTCGGGAGTCCGAGGAGGAGTCCATTCCCGAATCTGAGCAATCCATTTCCCAATCTGAGGAGCCCATTCCCGAAACGGAGGAGTCCATTCCCGAATCTGAGCAATCCATTTCCCAATCTGAGGAGCCCATTCCCGAATCTGAGCAATCCATTTCCCAATCTGAGGAGCCCATTCCCGAATCTGAGGCGTCTATTCCCGGATCTAATTTAACGTCTGAGCCAATGTCCAAGTTCTTGTCCGAAATTGACGGTAAGTACCATCCAGCTCTATTCTTTTGCACGGGCTTGATTGGCTGCCACAGGCTGTACGTTCACTGTTAGAACATTTTGAAATCCCCTCTGAAACAGGAATTGTAATCCCCGAACGCAGTAGTCATGCCCCCATTCACATTCGGACAGACGTGTACTTCTTTCAAGTTCACACAGAGTTCACTTGAGGAGAACGACCATGATCATTTACGAGCATGCGCATATGAAAAGAGAGTGAAGAGACTACAGATTGTGGATGACGTAATATGACATAATG